TACCATCCATCAGTTAATAGAGTACCGGCATGTAAGTAATGTTTGTTTTTGTTTTATTTATCTGCTCATTTATTAATTTATTACAATATAATATTACTACTTTATACCAATTGTGGGTCTTACCTTGTCTGTTAATACCTTTTTATATATTCAAATTTATTCATTTTGAAAACCACAGACATGTAATATTGGCATAATTACTATAATTTGTATGAACTAACTTATTTGTTTATTTTATCTTTATTAGACACCACCCTAATTGGGTTTATTTTATTGCAGCATTAGTTTAACTTTGTATCTAGACCTGAAGATGCTTTGCAAATTGTAGAAAGCGAAACCGGTCGTCAGATTGTTAAATTAAATTGATTGTGAGTAAGTCTTATTATTATTTCTTTACCTATTAAAATTTGTTTAATTTACTGTTTGTATTTTGATACCGATTTCCGAAGTGGAAATTGAAACGTCATTAAACGTACTTTAAACTTTAATTGTGGCTTATTCCCATTTAAATAGTAGTCAAATCAGCAGTTGCCAGATTACAACAGATGTTTGCAATTAATCTCGAAAGAGACAAATATCTACTCGTTATTGCTTCATATTAATTAAAAATTGCAGAATTCATAAAATAGTATAATCAAAATGTACTTTTTAAAAGCTTTATCTCTTTATATTTGAAGCATACAAAAATACATTATAAAAACATGACAACACTGCCAAACCGAAATATTTTTGACATTTGCGGCTATATTCAGCTTGTACTTTCGGTAAACTCAACCGAAATATGAATAAAAAACGCAGAATTTAATGTTTTACATTACAAATGATCACACGTAACGGAAAATGCATTTAAGAAAACTGTTTTGGGCGTAGTTTATTGCAAAATTTTTGTTCTTGTGAAAAACGTACTTCTAATGTAATTAAAAAAAAAGTTTTAAATGTTTTAGATCGTTTGTTGTATGAAAGTTTAAATCCAGCGTTTTTTAAGCATATTTCAAATGGCTCATATTTGTTGCCAAAACTTAAAACTAACATTTCGTGCTATAGGTTTTGAAAGTTAGGCTGTAGTAATCAAAACTTTATAGTGACCAGTCAATAAAAGAGATATATTGTATTGATCTCGTCAGAATCATAAAAAATAGCAAAAATCGCGCCACGTTTATTTATTTAACACCTGTATAAAATCTGAGTTTATTTGCGGCAGAATACAAAAACTTCATACGAAAGCTGAACTTTTAGGTTTAAAACGCATCTTGATTTTTGTCAATAGGTCACTTGAATCAAAAGATATCGAATTTTTGCCGTCCAGATGATATAAAATTTATTGAACATTGACTTCGCGCGCTTAACTGACATGCAAAATCGACGGTTTCTTCAAACGTTGTTTTCAAGGAAACGGTTCATTCTACACAAAAAATGCTTATAAAAATTTTTATTTAAAATTATCTCAGCTACATTTTTTATTTAAAACATTTTTATCTACGGTACACAGATTCTTGGTAAATCGAGTTTTTTGCGTTTCTACCCCCTGCGAAGAGGGTGGGTGGGTAGGAAGCCCGAGGGTAAAAGTGGTAAACTTTATTGTATCTTTTTTGGGGTTTTATAATTAATATTATTTGCAAAATTTAGTGGCATTTTCGTCACTGACTACTGGAGTATAGTTGCTTAAATATATTAAAATTAGTATATTAATGTAACAGGTAAGCTCACCAGGTAAGGATTGGGTTTTCAGGCCTTGGAATGTAAAGGATAATCCACTAAATGGTATCGGAGCACATGCAATTAGAATTGCAGTTTGAATTTTCCTACTTTTAATAGTCCCGAGAATTCCAGCAATAATAACAAATAGAAAATCTAAACACATGTTTATAAAAATCAGTACAATTAAAAATATAATAATCAATGGCGCGTGGAGTCTTACTCTAATAAGCTATGTATGTCGACAAAACGCAACATTTACCGAAATTATCTCGGTCTGAAAAATCATGTTCGACGATGAAGCGCATTTTGGATAAATGGGTAAGCACGTCAACAAACAGAATATGCGAATTTGGGAGATAACAATCCAGATGAAATACAAGAGCGTCCAATGCATCCAGAGTTTGGACTGTACACATCGGCTGACGGTGTCATTGGTTCGTATTTCTTTGAGAATAACGTTGACAAGTGAAATCGTAGGCTTCCACGGCCAGAGTCAGAATTATAGTTTATTCGTCTTCCGGGTTTGGACCGTGTCATTTGTGAGTGACCCAAAAGTGGGTTCATCTCAACTGAAAGTTGAACTCAAGAGATGAACCCACTTTTGGGTCACTCACAAATGACACGGTCCAAACCCGGAAGACGAATAAACTATAACGTTGACAAGGTCATCACTGTCAATGGCGAGTGCTATATGTCGCTATATATGTGCTATATATGTTATAATTACAATGAGAATATGCAATCCAATGTAGGTGGTTTGTAGATGATTGTAGTGGGTCCAGTTTTTTTGTAAGTTAATTATTTATTATTTTTGGGCATGACGCTAGCCAACACGAAAATGAAAATTATTACTACTATTAATTGTTTCTAGGAAGCCATGATGATAAATAATAAGCTGCTCATTACATGGCCTAAGTACTCAAGTTTTCTTCTTTTGATAGTCTTCTTCTAGTAACTTCTGCGTTTGATATTCTTTGAGTCAATGATATTCGTAGGATCCAAAAAAATACAAAGGTGGCACAAACTTATTTAAATGCACTTGTTTTAATGTCCATGCTTTTAAGCCATAAATTCACTGAACTTCAATTAGGGTGCTATTTCAATACGTGCCTTAATTTCTGTGGTTTGATTTTCATGTTTGCTTTATTGATTTTGTTTTCCTTATTTATAGATATACCTTCTATTGAATTTGAGAGCTCTACTTTAAATACCGCTTTATTATAGTTATTGAAAAGTAGTGGTTACAGCACGGAACCCTGGCGGACTCCTCTCTGTATTTTCATAAATCGGGTGTTCTGGTTGTCAACTCTTACCTTAGTAGTTTGATTCCAATATAGATTAGACATAATTTTCATATCACACACACATGTATATATATATATATATATATATATATATATATATATATATATATATACAGGGTGGTGAATCGTCAAACAGGCCATAGGAAACTCAATGGGAAATTCTAAATTGTTGAATTCCTGCTTCCCTAACTAATTATTTTACACCAACAGTCATGGGAAACTATTTGTAGAGGACTCAATTATGTATCGAGAACAACTGTTAAAATTATTCTACGACTTAAACGTATTCCAAAATTTTGATAAAATATAATACATTTTTCTGTGAAAAAATGTATATTACGTGTTGCGTTTTGTCATATTATTGTTTCTGATATTTGACAATATTTAAATCAATTATATTACATTTATCTATGATTTAAATGGCCAAAATTTTGTGATTTATTGTTAAAAAAAAATTAAGTTGATTAAAAAATGTACTCAGTTGAGGAGAAAAAAGCAATGATAAAAATGTTTTATTCATGTTTTATTATATTATAGTTTTATGTTTAGAAATTATCATATATTATTATTAGGAATAAAGATTACAGTAACAGTATATTGGAATTCATTGAATTGTTGTATAACTTAACATGGAATTAAATTTTAGTTAATTAGAATATCTTACGTTAAATAAAGATCCGGTAGGGGCAGAAAAAGGTTCGCGCTATTGCCTGAATACAACATTATGCGATTTTTCGTCAACTGAGTACATTTCATTATATTGATCGATTTCTAAGCAATATAATTTATTGTTCACAAAGTAATAATGGTCATTAGTAGTAGTATTTAGTAAAATTTGTTGTTTATAATTTAATCATAAAATAAAAAAATTGACAATTTAAATTGTCAAATATCTGAAATCAATATGATAAAACACACAAGTCCTAATATATATTCTTGCATTACGTGTGGCCTAACTTTTAGGGGTGGCCTGAAAAATGTATTATATTTTTGCAAAATTTTGAAGTACATTTGATTCGTAGAACGGTTTTAACATTTGTTTTTAATTCAGATTTTAGTCCTCTACAAATAGTTTTTTATGACTTTTGATCTAAAATAATTAGGGAAGCAGCAATTCAACAATTTAAAATTTCTCATTGAGTTTCCTATGGCCCGTTTGACGATTCACCACCCGGTATATATATATATATATATATATATATATATATATATATATATATATATATATATATATAAATATTTATATTATATTTTGAGCTACACAGCCCTATACCTAGGGGCTCATATTTCAAACAACCCCAATTAGCATTTTATCAAAGTGGCAATCACACGAAATTACTGAACTTCTTTTGAAACGGTCCTAAAGTTAAATGTTGTTTACCGTGGCAATCACAAAGTACTTTGTAGAAATCTAATGAGTCTGAATGTAAAATAAGAATACAAAGATTATTGTAAGCGTAGATTTAGCGTATAATCAGTCTAAATTAAAAACATTGTTGTTTGTGGCGAAACTTTTTAGAGCACCGGTTGAAATTAAGAGTATTATTGGCGCAAATTTGGCAGGTCGAAATTAAAAACCTGTATGTATTAACAGGCCATTGCTGCGGCCATCTTCTATTGATCTACTTGAAAGCGCTAAAGGATAATCGTTGTTGTCACTTATCATACGCCGTCACAAGCAACAACAAAAAGACAGTCCAAATATGATAAGCAAATACTAGTCTAGCTGACTATTACATTCAATATGACACTTTTAAAAATTTATAACTACATTTTGATACGGGTTAATAATTTTTTTGCGCATTGAGCAGATTTTCGTTAATGCTGATGTAAACTAATAGCGACATTTAGCGGGGCATGGCTGGCGGGATATCACAATATGAGGTGGAAGAGAAAAGTAATAAAGGAAAGTAAAATGTATTAGATATAATCTAATAGTGGGGATCGAGGGTTAAAAGAGCAAAAATAAACACAAAAATAATTTTTTTACCAACTTACCTCTTGTACATCCAAGACAACGCCGAAATCGGCCAGTTTAAAGTGTTTCCCATGTATAAGGATATTCCGGTCTTTAACGTCATAATGAATTAACCTTCTTTCGTTAGAAAGATACTTCAATGCAAGGCACATATCATGAATAACATCCCAGTAGACATATTCCGGAACCTCTCTACTATTTTTAACAAAATCGGCCAGGGAGATCTGAGATAACTGAAGTAACAAATAAGTCTCATCTTTTTCTTCCCATCCCATAAAATACCTAACGATATGAGGATGATATCCTACTTGTTCTAAAGTTTTAATTTCATTGTACTTCTCGTCTTCGAGACTTCCCTCGGTTTTCAGTTTTTTGATGGCATATTTTTTATTTTCAGACTTATGGGTAGCTTTGAAAACATAGCCATAAGCTCCTTCCCCTATTTTCTCAATCCAGGTAAAAACTTGATTAATATAAGGTTCATCTGACGATGGATCATAGAGTGGATCCAAAGTTACTAAAATCAATAAAATATTCAATTAATTTTAATTTTAATTTACAGTAAAGATATAGATCAATTAATTTATTCTATCACGGGCTTATTTTCTTTGCTAAGGCAAATATTAACCCTCAACTGGTATGGTGGACGGAATGTAAGGAATAGTGATGCGCAATACATAGCCTCTCCTATTCAAATGTCAACCTCACCTGCCCGTGAGATGATCTAGATCATGATCATACGGTACATTCTGCTAGATAACAAACGAGGCTTTGGTGTCCGAGTGATTGCCGGTATAAGCAATCCCCCACTTACTGACCAACAGCTTCGAGTGGAAGAGTCGGTAAGTGGAAGGGCACCTTCTTGTCCGAGAAATGGAAAATCATTTCTAAAGGCGGACGAACCTTTACTGACCATTAAACTCAGAAAACAAGATCCGGCAGAGGAGGAAACTCACAAGACTGCAAGGCCTCCCCGGTCGTCAACATGCGAAAACTATGCAAAGTAGCGAGCGACTTGGAATGTTAGAAGTCTACATCAAGCTGGAAAAGTACATAATGCCGTTAAAGAAATGGAAAGTATTATAAAAATCAACAATAAAACAATATATTATTCAGGAAGTCAGGACGGTTCACACCGATATAGTTTCGGGATAATATTAAACAAAAACATTGATGAAGCTGTAATAAATTTCACTCCATACTCCAACAGAATTATACTCTTACAATTAAACCAGAACAAACCCAAAATAAACATCCTACAAACAGACAAACCAGATAGCAATATTGAAACTTTCTACGAAGACCTAGGCAACATTTTAAAATACATTAAAATGCAAGATTTAACAATTATAATGGGAGACTTTAACGCAAATGTTGGGGAAGAAAAAGTAGATGATAGTCAGTTTGGGTTCAGAAATGGACTAGGAACCAGAGAAGCGTTATTTGCTTTTAATGTGTTATATAAATATGAATGTTGATGTGCATGTTTGTGAGAACCCGCATAGTGAGAAATCAAATAGATTACATTCTGATTAATAAAAGATTCCGGAACAGCATAACATCAGTCAAGACATACCCAGGAGCTGATATCAAATCAGACCATAACCCACTGATTGGCAAAATTAGGCTCAGGCTAAAGAAGGTTAGACGTAGTGTCAATCCAAAATTCGACATCAAGCTATTAAAAGACCAACACACAGAACATAGTGTAAAGCGGTATATACAGAACAATTTGAATACCGTTATTCAATCGGATGTAATGGACCAGGAGCTAGAAAAGTAACATACAGTTTCAAAAGACATACGAGAGAAATTTCTCAAACCACCAAAAATTAAGAAGAAATCGTGGATAACAAATGATATTCTAGATATGATGGAAGAGAGGCGAAAGTTCAAAAATCAAGACATGTCATTATACAAAAGAATCGATAAAAAGATCAAAAAAGCTATTAGAATAGCTAAGGATACACATCCAAGAAAACAGTGTTCGGAAATACAGCAATTGCAACATAAACACGATACATTTAATATGCACAAAAAAGTTAAAGAAGCTGCAGGCTTATACAAACCTAGAAGAGTTGGGTGTTTGGCAGATAACCAAGGCAAACCACTGTTAACTATGATTTACCACTTGCTACAAAAATCTCTCTCATTAGATTCTATGTATTTTCTACCTTATTATACGGAGTAGAGGCCTGGACACTTTCCGAAGCTTCCTTAAGAAAACTCGAGACATTCGAGATGTGGTGTTATAGACGTAACTTAAGAATTTCATAGGTGGGTCGTGTGACTAATGTTGAGGTCCTACGTAGAATAGGCAAGGAATGCGATTTCCTTGGCTCCGGTCTCGAATACGGTGAAAACTTCTTTTGCAGCTCTTGTGGATTGTGCTATTGTGTCCACGTCATCCGCAAAAGGCCAATAGTATTTTTGATCCTTGTGCGGCAAATCCGTTTGTCAATTGTGGCTGAGCTTTCCTTACTGCATGTTCCAGTGAGAAGTTAAACAGCAGGGGAGCGAGAGGATCTCCTTGTCTAAGCCCGGTGTCAATGTGGAATTCCTCCGACGTGGTGTTGCCAATTCTGATCCGTGCGGAATCGTTCTCCGTGCTCACCTGTGCTAATCGTACCATCTTTCCAGGTACTCCCAATTCTACCATGGTCTTCCACAATGCCTCTCTGCTAATAGAATCGTAGGCTTGTTTAAAGTCCACGAATATTTGGTGTACGTCGCGATTGAATTCCCAGTTTTTTCCAACACTTAGCGTAGGACGAAGATCTGGTCTATGGTCGACCTTCCCGGTCTGAATCCACTTTGATAGTCACCTATTATTTCCTCTGCGTATGAAGTTAGTCTTCTAAATAATATTGTGGATAAAATTTTGTATTTTGTATTGACTAACGATATTCCTCTATAATTGTGACATACTTGTTTGTCTCCCTTCTTGTGGATAGGTATTACCTATATGACTTTCATGCCAGTGTTTCGATATTTCTTCTCTTTTCCAGACTTCTCTTATAAGATGGTATATCTCAAGATGTAGCTTTTCTCCCCCTTTTTTTAGTAGTTCCGCCTGTATGCCGTCTGGTCCTGGGGCTTTATAATTGTTTAGGGACGAAATTGCGGACTTTACTTCAGCTAGTGTGGGCTCTACTATTTCAGGTTCGGCTAACTGGTATTGTCTGTGTTGCCCCGTTGTTGTGGGAGTTTCTGTATTTAAAAGTTGTTTAAAATACTTTCTCCATTGACGGCTTATCTCCTCGTCGTGGGTAAGTAATTGTCCTGTATCATCTTTTATAAAACTTGGGCTGTTGGTCGTGTTGCCCTTCATTGTTTTTAGGTCCCTATAAAACTGTCTAGACTGCCCGGTTCTATGTTCCTCCTCGAGTTGCTGTATTCGCTCTTCTAGGTACTGTTTCTTTTTTCTTCTCAAAAGTCTTCTCGTCTGAGCCCTTACTCTGTTGTAGTCTTCTCTGTTCTCTGTTGTAGGTCGTGTTAGTAATTCCAGCCTCTTGACTGCTTTCTGCTGCAAACTTTGTTCGCACTCCTGGTCAAACCACTGGTTTTTCATCCTGTTACTCCTTTCTTTTCCAATAGTTTCCGCTGCGGCGCTCTCTATGGCGTTCACTATGTTTTGCCATTTATGGTCTACGGCAAATTCTAGTGTTGATGTTTCTTCTTCTTCCAGTGTCTGCAATTTGTTTTGTACTAGTGACTGATATTGGCGTTCATTATCAGGTAGATCGAGCCTTGTAATGTCCCATCTCTTACCTTGTTGGCGTTGCTTTGGATGTCTCGTGTTTCGTGGAACACAATTTTTTGACGAAAAAAAAAACATTTTTCATTTTTTTTATTATTTTGATAAGAACAACATTAAGCTATCAAATATATTTTAAATCCATTTTCTCATCATTTCGTTTCCTTAATATTTACGCCTAAAGTCAAATAATCCTTAACTAGGCTGTTATTGGGTCGGTTTTTCTTAATAAATATTGAGTATGGAGTAAAAGTAAAAGAAAGCAAAAGATCTAGCATTGACAACACTGAACAAGATATATAATTATATACAGTACGAAAAAATATAAAACGGTTCTAAATGTAATTAGTAAATATGATTTATATAAATTAAAATTCATTTTAAATTCAAAAATTTATAAAAGTAGAATATCTGAATTAAAAAGAATATCTGAACTTACCAGGTATATTAACAAAAGCCGGCTTAGCTTTTATTTGTACGAGCTGCTGGTTCTCTTGATCTGGAACAGGATCCCAAAAAGGATCCTAAAATCCAATGATAAAAATAGTGTTAATAATTTTCAAAAACACGCAAAATATAAAACTATTGTTAGCGAGATATCTTGCCTCAATTGAAGTATTTTTTAATCACATTAAAAAAAAGAACTTCTAGAATAATCCCAATCTCAAGTTTTTCAATACATCGCTATCCTTCAAATCCTGTGTAAAATTCTTAGGTATGTGGTTTGATAATCAACTTACTTGGAAAGAACATATTAGACAATTAGTTTTGACTTGTCATACGAAACTTAACCTAATGAGAACACTGTCAAATAGATGTGACAGTGACTGTAAAATATTGTGCACAACAGAACATTGAAAAACTAAAGAAGAATTAAGTGAATATGGAATTAACAATTTTGTGCTGACAGCTAGTCATTGTAGAAATAATGTAAATGAACATGGAGGAACAGCTATATATCTTAGTAAAGACATCATTGGCCAGGAAAGAAAGGATATACAAGAGTTATCAGTAGATAGGGTAATAGAGTGTGCTGTATGCGAAGCTAATATAGGTAATAACAAACTCATTATAGCATCAGTTTACAGACCATCAGGTAGCGATCTGGCAGTTTTTTTTAAACAAATTTTATATTATACTGGGAAGAATTATGATAGAAAACACAATTATAATTAGAGGGGAAGATTTCAATATCGATCTTAAGAATAACACATTAGATAAAGTAAAATTTTGTATGTTAATTAACTCATATAATATTTTTCATGTAATTGAAGACTACACTAGAGTAACTGCCACATCTAAAACTTGTATAGATAACATACTAACAAATATGCAATCATATGTGTCAGTAGAAGTCTTGCACGCTGGAATCTCTGATCATTCTGCCCAAAAATTAACTTTTCAGGTAGAGGAAGCAGAAACGAATACTCTTGAAATGAAAAGACATTTTAGTACAAATAATATTGAAACCTTTATAAGTAAATTACATAATCATGACTGGCTTAATTTAAGTTACAAATGTGTAAATGATCAATGGAATACTTTCTTAAATCAGTTTCTGTATATATTCAATCAGTGTTTTCCTTTTAAAAAGTTAGATTCTAGGCAACGTAAAAAGGCCTTAATAAAAGAGATGATCCACAGATAATAGAATGTAAGACTCGTTTAGACATTTTGTTTACAATGAGCAGAGTTAACCATAAATTCTATGATTCCTATAGACAGGTAAAAAAATAATATAATAAGAAACTAATAACAAAACGATCAAAGCTATATGAAAACAGGATGTCTGAAGCAAATTGTTAATGAAATTAATGGTCAATTAAAAAATGTAAATTCAATAAAAGTAGAGGGTAGTCCTCAAGAGATTGCTGATAAATACATGATCCACTTAAATACTTCTTTAAATAACACTTTATCTCAATTACAGTACACTGAATATAAAGACAACATTGCAAGTAACATAAATTCAGTGTTTGTCGCACCTGTGACAGAAACTGAAATTATGGATATAACTAAAAATTTAAAAAACAAAATGAGTTGTGGAATTGAAGAAATACCCACTAAAATCCTTAAACTTTGTATAAAGGAGATAGTGAATCCTCTCACTACAATCACAAATAATTCACTAAAATCTGGTGTATTTCCTGAATGCCTGAAAACTGCCATAGTAACACCTGTTTACAAAAAGGGTGATCCTAAATTAATTAATAACTATAGACCAATTAGCCTTCTACGTTCCTTTTCAAAAATCTTAGAAATGACTATGTATAGGCGGATAACAGAATTTTTAACAAAATTATTAGTGCAAATCAGCATGGTTATCAACAGGGAAAATCAACTCAGACTGCCATTTTTCAATTTGTCTGGGATATTTTGAAATGTACTGAGATTGGTCATATGGCTTTGGGTCTCTTTTTGGACCTATCAAAGGCATATGACTGTTTAGTGCATGACATATTATTTGATAAATTGGAAAAATATGGTATACGTGGACCAGCATTGAACTGGTTTAAGTCCTACTTGGCAAATAGGAGACATTTAGTAAAAATACATAAAAACACTGAAATAGGCATCTCATCTGAAAGCACTATCAATATTGGAGTACCACAAGGAAGTGTGATTGGTCCTTTACTGTTTGTGATCTATATCAATGATCTTCATGGTCTAGTGGCTAATACTACTTCCAGCATAACAAATTATGCAGATGATACAAACATTTTAGTCAGTGGTAAAGACATGTCTGTTCTAAGCGTTAATGCTAGTTTAGAGTTCCAGAAAGGTAAAGACTGGTTTTCTATAAATAGGTTGGTTTTAAATCAAAATAAAACAGATCTTCTTTTGTTTAAGACAAATTATGCACATTCAGATATGCCAAACAGTATTATTGTAAATAATGACACTTTAAATATTAGCAGCAGTACCAAATTTTTAGGATTATATATTGACAGTTTTTTATGTTGGGATAAACATGTTGACCAGTTATGTATGTCTTTGAGTAAAGTGATTTACAGCTTTAGAGTTCTAAAAAAAATACATGAATAGTAACTCATTAAAAACAGTGTATCATGCTAATTTTGAAGCAAAATTTAGATATGGTCTAATAAATTTTGGCAACAGTAGGGACATAAATAATGTATTTCTGGTTCAGAAAAAAATAATCAGAGTTATGTTTGACTTAAAAAGTAGGGAATCATGTAGAGGGCATTTTAGGAGTAATAATATTTTAACAGTTTACGCTGTATTTATTCAAGAATGCTTACTGTTTCTATATAAAAATAAAATTCTCTTTAGGAACTTTGAGCCCAATAGTATAGTAAATACCAGGTTATATAATTATAAAATTCCAATACACAGGTTAAGTATAACAGAAAAAAAACGCTCTTTATTGCTGCATCAAATTGTTTAATAAACTGCCTGAACCTATTAAAAGGGAGGAAAGATTAAGTTTGTATAAACATCAAATATTTAAATTACTGGTAGCTCTTGAGCCACATTCTGTGGAGGACTATTTGTATATGTAACGGTTAGGAATAAGTAAATAATATTTTCGTTTGTGACACTGTTTTTTTTAAATAATTTTATGTTCACGGAATGTACATTATTTTCTAAAAATAAAGATTTTGTTATGTTATGTTATGATATTGGGGCTCTGATCTCTCTACCATACTTACAATCTACAGAACTCTAATAAGATCAAAAATTGTTTATGGATCAATTGCTTACGCCTCTGCTTCCCCCACATTGTTAAAACAGGTAGACTATATTCACAACACATCACTCAGACTCTCTCTTGGCGCATCTCGAACATCACCGGTGAAAAGTTTATATTCTGAAAGTGGGAGCCTTCATTATATCACCACCGAATTTCCTTAACACTTTCACACGCAACGTCAACAGCCTCAAATGTGAACAAACGTCTATTTAATAATACGTTCACTAATAAATATATAAATATCTTTACCAATAGTACCAAACATAAGCCTTACTATGAGTGAGCACGGTGTTTGTTACTTAAGATGTCTTAATATCGAATTTCCAATTGCCTTTCCAATCAATATTAGAAGCCCCTCTCCTTGGATAATTAATACCCCAAATATAAATACTGGTCTAAACCAATACGATAAACATATTAACTGTCACGCAGAGATTAAGAATAATCTAGGTATAATTCTCCATCAGCATTACGAACATTGCATCTAAGTGTGATAAAGGAGTAGGTGCTACATTCGTTACTTCAAGCGATACATATCAATTTCGTCTTCCAACCTTCTTTTAGATTTTCTCCGCTGAGCTCTATGCAATGTTTAAAGCTATCATGCATATAAATCCTAATAACATTCCTAACTCTGTTGTCTTAACTGACTCACTAAGCGCCCTTCAAACCCTTAAACAGATCTATCCTAAAGGTCCCCTTGAGAAACTGATAAAACTAGAACTCATGAAGCCTCAAGAAAATTCTAGAAGTATCAGATTAATGGATTCCATCCCACATTGGCATTGCTGGCAACGAAAGTGCGGACCAGTGCGCGAGTGAAATTGATAAATGTGCCGATATAGAAAAATCTGAGTATCGAAATACCGCGAGTGATATAAAAGCTTTTATAAAAAATCGAATTTTGTTCCAGTGGAAAAACGAATGGCAATCTTCTCTAACATCACTGAAGCAAATTAAAAATGACGTTACAGCTTGGGAAACCCTCAACGAGGAACAGAAGAGAATAATTGGTGATAACGAGATTATGAATTGGACACACGAGACTTACTCATATTTATTGTCCAAAAATGATCCACCTATTTGTGAAAAATGTAATGTACAAGTAACCGTTAACCATTTATTAATTGAATGCCATAGATTTGCCAATTTTCGTGATACATTTAACATACATAACAGTTTAAGTAATTTATTAGGTACTAATTGTTCAGCTAGTAATATTGTAAATTTCTTAAAATCTATAGGAATATTTTATGAACTCTAATTTTGTGATTCTGTAGCCGCCGCTAATAACCATTATGGTGGATGCGGCTGTAATTTCTAAATAAAAAAAATGAATGTTTTTAAATACCGTATAATAAAAAACGAAAGCTCTTGAAAGCAGGACTGACTGTTGCAAAGAAAACAAAAAATAAAGAAGACAGAATAAGTGATGGAACAAAACGGTTGATGGAAAAGAGACGCACATTTCTAAACGAAGGAAAGCGAAACACCAATGGTTTCAAAGAATTGAATAAAGAAATAAAGAAGGGAGTAAAGGAAGATTTAAGGATCTATAATGAAAAGAAGATAGAAACGAACCGAGGCCTGAAGATGCTTAAGATCAAACTTATTAAAGCCTATAATAAACTCATTGAATGATAAAGATGGAAAAGAAATAAGAGGAAAGAATTAAATCCTAAAAGTTACTCAAAACATTTTAACGTGATTAGGCTAAAAGTTTGCACAGTTGGAAAATACTAGGCCTAATGTACTCCATAAAAATCCACAATTGACCAGATTGAAATTTAACATTGAAACTCATCACATATTCGTCAACTTTAAGGCCACATATGACAGTGTCAAGAAATCAATACTATACCAATAAATGCGTGAGTTTGATATACCAGAAAAACTTTTCCGATTAACGAGAATTACAATGTCTAATTTACAAGCCAGCGTTAGGATACAGGGAAAAAATTCTCGATCCTTTGAGATAAAGGATGGACTCAGACAAGATGATGCCATCCTATTTAACATTGAATTGGAAACATTGAATTGCCTCCTATTTAACATTGAATTGGAAAGGACAGTCCGAAACACACGAATTAGAGACAGCGATACAGCGATGGGCAAGAATGAAAGACGACAGTTGGACAAAAAATTGCTTGAGTGGAGACCACGGACTGACAAACGAAGCCGAGGAAGACCCCCAACGCGATGGACCGACGACCTCAAAAGAATCGTGACCAATTGGATAGCAGAGGCACAGAACAGAAGCAGATGGAAAAGTCTAGAGGAGGCCTATGTTCAACAATGGACAACTCAGAGCTGATTGATGATGATGATGAATAACTCCAGTGGTTGATGCGGATAAATAAAATATAAAAAAAAAACTAAGACAATAATGTATTAAATAATATTCTAAATTAATTAACATAAATAAATTAAAGCCATTAATTAAATAAAATAAAATATATTCTAAATTATAAATCAACCTAAAAATAATTATAGAGCAATAATTGTAATCAAGAAAATTTCAATTGATGTAGTACCTATCAAATGAATAAAATTAAACACTGTGAATTTTTAAATATATTAGTGACTTACCTCTTCTACAGGGACATTGTCTCCCATTATTCGCAGATTAACTATGAATTTGAATAGCCTAAAAATGAATACAATATTTAGTTAAAGTAGTTTAAGAATACAGAGGAAGTAAAAATTATGTAAGCATACAAAAACATATAAAAAATACTAAGTGCCTGCATAAAAATTATCTATTTAGAAAAATGTAAATCATAAATAGCAATCAATAAGTATCAATTGCATGCCTTAACAGAAATATTAAAGTTTAAGTGTCAAAATAATTAAAGTAAAGAATGCAAAAAGGTGACATTGCGTTAGTCTGGCAACAAGAGCAAATCATATTGTAGGTATATATGGAAATGAATCAATGAAATAAGACAAAAAAGTAAAATTATACAATAGTTTCTAATAAAATTATGTAGCTAGCAATATTAGCAAATCTTTCATAAAGTTTCATCATATCGATTATATTAAGGTTTCTAGGTGGCGCAAGTACCCCTAACATGACTTAACCACTACTTTTGTAGTCGAGAACGACGGCTTTACAAGCCCTCCAAAGCAAGGTGGCAGCTCAGTTGAATTAAAAAATTTAAAATTTTGTCGATGCCGGAATTCGAACCCGGGCCCTCCACCTTGTTAAGCCAGTAGCAAAACCACTGAGCTACAGCTGCCACATTTGCTGACGTAAAGCTGTGGAGATTTACTGATTTTAGTGAAATAAAAACTATATTTTTATTTATTACTCTTATTAAAACAATCTTTCTGCGAAATATATGCTATGAATTCTACTAAAGCATTGTTTCGAGAGTAAAAATACCGGGTTTGTAAATAAGAAAGATTAAAAGTATTGTTGAATAAAAAGTATATCTAGCAATTTAAACACACAACTTTATGGATCTATAAAGGATGTTTTAAATACATTAACTATCCTATAACAATATAACAATCTGCATAGCAATAGGTAAAACTACCGAAAATCAGATTTATATAATACTAAGTCAAACAATTTAAAAATTAAAATAATAATTTTAAAATCTTAACTTTATAGATCCAAATTTGTCTATTTTTCTAGAGAACACAATTTTTGGTTGGTACATACACTCAAATGCCATTTTCTAGCATATAGGTAACACCGCTAATACAAAATAATGTTATAATATTACAAAACTTCAGTACAACTTAGTTATACAATAAAAATATCTAACTGTTTTGAAGTAAATGTAAATACCTGTAAATATCTGTCTTAATCCAAATTTTGTTATTTTTAAGATTAAATCTTGAAATTAGCTTACAGTTGAATCTGAAAACGAATTTACGTAAACACAATATGAGTGCGCATAAACAGATTTCAAATTTGACACAGCACGATAATTTGTTTTAGATTGCGTAATACATGGATGTCAATTCTTCTTCTTCTTCTTCTTCTTAGCCTTCTGTCGTCCATGCATGATACTATGAATAACAAGGTAGGATCTTCCCGTAGCACAAAATCGGTCGTGTTCGCGCATGCCGTCATTGGAGAGTAGAATTTGAATTCTTGTTAAAGTTAAATGTCTGGCTAATTGGTGGCTAATTGGTCTTTACCAAAGCCATCTAATTAAGTAAAAAAAAAACTGTGATGAAATTACTAGACGAAAATAAGTTAAGAGGTTCAATAATTACAATAATCGTACACATAAGGATATCTCCAAACTATTTATTAAATATTATGTATTGACATATACAAAAAACTGACATTTCGACGTGCAACTCTCCAATGACGTCACGACTTATGCACAATATCTTATCTTCTTATCATAGTATCATGTCGTCCAAGTTTGGACATAAGCCTCTCCCAACTCCTTTCATCGGTCTCTATCCTGAGCAACATATTTCCAATTTGTTCCGGTTATTCTTTTAATGTCATCAACCCATCTCATCTGGTGGTCTTCCTCTTGGTCGTTTACTTTCGTAAGGTCTGCAATGTTGTAGTATGTCAGTAGGATGTTAATTATGTCATAGTAAAAAATAATTTATATTTCTTATTTAATTCCGATTGAGTTTTTGGACTTTCAGTATATTTTGTATAATTTTATCCATAGTCATCTAATCGTTAAAATTAGATATATGTTAATTTTAAAAACATTTCAAGGCACCTTTCGCTGTACGCGAATTTTGTAGGCAACCAGTAATACGAAATAGTGTGTTTTGTTATCTAGACACTGGTCAATAATTACAACAATTATGAATAATCCTAAACCTGTTACTTTTGACTACAAGGGCAACAAAATCAATAATGTTAATTAGTAACGGAGAAAACAGTACACCTATAACTTCTTACGTTGCTGCAGCTAAAACAAAACCTAAACCTATTTTTCCGAAAAAGTACAAGCAATTATCATACAGTCTCATCCCAATCTTATGTTACTGGACTACGTTAAAGCAGTTGGAAACATCTTTAATCCCAAAAATGTTTGTTTTGCAACGCAATTTCCACTGTTACTAGAAATTCCGTTCAGTGTTCAGTGGAGTATAAGAAGACTAATTTCTCCAGCTAAGAGAATATTGATATCAAATGTTTATACCTAATGTATAGACATATAAATATAAGTATAGACAATATAAAAATAAGTTTTATTTATAAATTAACCTCTTTTTAATGGCAAATCAATGGCTGAGGTTGTTTTTGACCTGGCAACATTGGCTGTGAGTGACAGTCTGACAGTGCCGACTGAATGCTTGGCCTTGGCATGACTGTGCAATACTGTGCATGAGTAAAGTAATTCTAACCATAGCTTCTAAAGGCTTTAGGTTTTAAACATTTATTGTGAATATTTATAAAAACAACCGTTAATTTAAAAGAGCTATAAGAATGGGTGACTCAAAGGTAGAACCTACAAAGGTGGATAAAACAAAGGGTAATGAGGACAAAAACAAAAATGAACTGGTAATATTATGGTTTTAGACTCTGTTGTATTTTACTATATATATAATTCTTTTATAGTCCGAAGAAGACAAACAGCTTCAAGATGAACTAAATTTATGTGTTGAGAAACTCCAGGTACTATATATTTTGTAAACCGACTATGACATTACTAATTTTATATTTTTATTAGGATAATGATGAAAAGAGATACTTGCCTGCTCTGCAAGCTTTATCAAATCATATTCAAGCCTCAACTACTTCGATGACTTCTGTGCCTAAGCCATTAAAATTTATGAGGCCCCATTATGACACTATGAAGACAGTACATGAAAAAATAACTGATCCTGACACTAAAAAAGTGTGTGCAGATATTATATCTGTTTTAGCTATGACAATGGGAGAAGGCAGAGAAAGTTTAAAATACCGGCTTCTTTCTAATTTGGATAAAATTGGTGAATGGGGACATGAATATGTTAGGTACGTAAATTAATTAAATTAAAGATAGATGCCCTAACCTTAACATAATAGCTTTAATTTAACTATTTCCAATATTTTTTGGCATATCCTCATGTCATAATTTCTACTTTTACATATTTTCATTATTTACCAGTTCTAATAAGAGTCAAATTATCACTTTTCATCAAGCAGTCACTCAAAAGAATGATGGCCAAAGTTCTTCAGCTATTACAATAAGACTTTATTTATTTATTTAATACACAGGATAACCCCATTAACAGTTTAAATTACAATAAACAATATCATAGTTAGGATTCAAAACTTGAAAGACTATAACAAGAACAAAATTCAACAATCCCAATATACATATCACAAAGCAAGAGATCTTTTAACTGAGTTAAAGTTATATTATAAATATCAAAATCGAGATCATTTAATAGCCCCATGTATCTATCCAATGGGTTTGTGAATACCATAGGTTGTTCTGTGGAAAGGAATATTGAAAACATTGTGGTACCGTAGAGCTTGATGTGAAACATTAAAGTTAATCTGGCTTAACAGGTTTGGACAATCAATAAATCGATGTATGATGAGTGAGGGTAAAGATAATTGTTGTTCGATACGCTAATAATCATGATTTTCAATAGTAGTGTGGATGTGGTAAGCACAATATCTCAAAATTTATGCTGGACCTTTCTATAGTATCAATATTGTTCTCAAAATAGGGTGACCAAATAACTGAACAGTATTTCAAAATAGTTTTAACTAAGCAACAATACACTAATCTTGTTGAATTAATAGAGAAATACTTGCAATTCCTAGTAACGAAACCAAGAAGTTTAGATGCCTTTATTGAAATTGAGTTTATGTGGTCACAGAAAGTAAGCCTCTCATCAAAAATAACACCTAAATCCCGAATAGATGGAACATAATTCAGTTGCTGATTATTAATTGTATAGCTTGTTCCAATTCTATTGACTTTCTAAGCCATCTTGTAGCAAGGCTTGATCTTTTAAAACTGTCTATAACTTTTCCAAAATTTCAAGTCATCAGCCAACATTAGACATTTCCTACTTAGGAAACAGTAAGTGATGTTGTTAACGAAGATATTAAAAAAAAGTGGAGAAGTGTGGCGTCCTTGAGGAACTCTAGATGTTACTGTGATACTGTCAGATAGCTGACAACCTATGGTTGACTCTTTGACTTATTTATTTATTTATATACGGCATCCATTTACTTACAATTTTTATAAAGTTACATCTTAAAAACAATATATTATTAAAATAACAATCACAAGTTTTAAAAAGTTACACCTTAACAACAATAAATTATTAAAATAACAAACACCTCAGAATAATACAAACATATAAGAATAATACAGATGTACAACCAACTTCTTGTAAGATATTTTTTAGTTGTTTTTTAAACAAACTAATTTTGGAGTCAAAAATATCTATTTGTCTTGGCAAGCTATTAGCACTCCGGGACCAATCGTGTAGTTGGTTCATTGATACCATAATTAGTGTGGTGAAATGGCACCGAAAAGATTTCTGATTGTCTGTTGCTTCTACTAGGAACGTTAAGACCAACAAGCGATAAGAGTTGAGGACAATCTATAAAAGCATTGATAACTTTGTGTAAGAAACATAAATCTAACAATGTCCTCCTTGACTCAAGTGTTGGTAAGTTAAGACTATCTCTTACCCACTGATAGTCGTATTCCGTCGACCCCATGGTTTACCCGATCAAATGCTTTGGAAAAGTCAGTATAGATTGAGTCAACCTGGCACCCCTCCTCAAAGCTGTTATATATATGATTGACATACAAAACCAGGTTAGACTTCTTCCAGATGTAGAGTTTTTAATCCATTTAACAAACCTGACATGAAAGCCTACATTAATTATTTTGTCTAAAAGTATTTGGTGATCTACATGATCAAATGCCTTGGAAAAATCTGTGTATATTGCATCTACCTGTTTACGGTCTTCCGTATGAGATAATATATCAGATTGATAGCAAACCAAATTTGTTGCAGTGGATTTTTTGCTATGAAAACCATGTTGCGATTGAGATATTAAGCCTTTACATAACCAAGAAAGTTGCTTTGCTATAAGACTGGGATTGCAGATTGTATACAAATGCTTTTGAATATTGTCTTTCTGACTATTTTTAAATATAGGAACAACATACTTTCTTTCCATGAAGAAGGGCACACAGAGAACTTACTTCTATTTGTTTCTTGAACATCGAGGTTTAAGCAATATTCATAACCCACATGATGGATGCTAGGATCTACAAGGGGATCACTTGCTTTCAAGATATTTAGCTCCCTAACATTAGAAAAAAACTAAATCCAAAAATACATTACTATTATTGGGAATATTATTATGCTGATACAATTTTAAAAAACCAAGGCTTGAGCAATATTCACCATTACACCAAACTCATCATTCTCCCATGATGCATTGGGAAAATTGTAATCACCAAAAACATAGATATCCTGTGCTGAGTATTGCAGAATAACATTTTCCACAGTTTGACAATGCTAATTGTATACTGTTATCATTTAAGTTACTCTCCATTAAAATAATTATATTGTACAAGCAGCATGAAATACTTTTCAGGATCTCCTTTTTAATTACAATACAATATATGTAACCTGTTATCTACCCGTTAAGTTTATTCCTGAATCTCTCATAACTTTTTCTAACGTTAATACTTTGTTAGTTGTAAATGGTTCTGAAAGATCCCCTTGTACTCTCACTTTGCATTCAATGTATTGTTTTAAAAATCGGGATTAGGCAAGATCCTTGGAAAACAAGTTTTTTAAAATATTATTCAATATTATTTAAAAATATCTAACAGATACCCAAAGCAAACACTTACTGGAAACTAAATATATTATTATCTTTTAGGCATTTGGCAGGAGAGATTGCAGGAGAATGGGCCGAGACTGATTTTATAGTAAACACTGAAATTAGAGAGAAACTTATTTTACTTACAAAACAAATTGTGCCATACAACATGGCACACAATGCAGAAGCAGAAGCATGTGATTTGCTTATGGAAATTGAAAGGCTTGATCTACTAGAACAGTATGTGGATGAAAACATTTACCACAGGGTGTGTTTATATCTTACCAGGTAAGAATATAGAATTTTCTCTTGTGTAATAATTGAGAGTTTAAAATATCAGTATGGTTTTGCTTGAGAGCCATTTTAAGGAATCAATTTTTGTAGCAAGACTATTATTTTTAACTAGGTTTCGCACATTCACTTCGATGATGCAAACAGTGAGGTTGATTCTGTGATAAATTCCAAATTTCTGTGGAATCACAGCCTTTGAATTTTGCATGATCTCTATATATCAAGAATATTTGGTATATAAAATATATTTATACATTGCTTTAATGCCATTGGTTTACTAATGTTGTGTCATATTTGATTTGCAGTTGTGTACCCTATGTGGCAGATCCCGAGAATACTACTCTACTACAAACTGCTCTTTTACTGTTTAGAAAGTTTGATCAATACCCTCAGGCGCTGAGATTAGCTATGCAGTTAAATGACTTTGGACTAATTGAAGAGATTTTTGTCAACTGTCCTGATTCGTAAGTACACCAAATAGTTTTTAGTTTTATTGAAATTGAGTTACTTCTTTTTTTTTTGTCTTTCCTATTAGATATTTCTCTTATCATATTTTTAAACCATACATTATATGTAGGGTGACCATATGTACTTTTTTTAGTAGGACAGTACTTTCTTTTCAAACGCTGTCCTATTGTACTTTAAAACTAATGAAGTACACCTAAATGTACTCTTTTTCTTAATAACACAAAATTAAGTCCTACTTTTTGTCAAAACAAAATATAATTATGATTCGAATTGATTCAAGAATCGATCTTTTGCGGAAGAATCAGAATCTCCTATATTTAGCAGCAATCGATCGGCGCAGGAGTCACTTGCGACTCTCGTCGCCGCTTCATCGTCTAGTTTAGTTTATTACCGATGCGCCCATCTCCCTCCCATCAATGTCGATTTCATTTCGCAGGTAGAACTTACTATCTTATTTATTTAGTAAAAATATATATCTCGTCGTATGTTTATGTTTATTTGTTACTTGTGCGCTCACTGTTGATTTAACCTTTTGTCTTAAATTCCGGCAGATTTTCTCGTTTTTTATGTGCTGTATGGAAAAATAAACAATTTCATCATGTCACCGCCTAGAAGAAAATGCCATTTTAACGTCGAGTTGCAAGCAGAATATCCTTTTTATGAAACAAAAATCAAATGTTATCGCATATCAATCACTGCATATTGTGTTTTGTCAAGTTTGTAAAAGTGATGTTGGTATTTCTAACAGTGGTAGCAGTAATATCAAACAACATTTGTCAAAGAAAAAACACTTGTTGGCTGCTAATGCGAACTCAAAGAGCAGCAAATCGGAAACCTTTGTTAAAAAAAAAATGTAAGTTCTGAAAATATGTTGATTGCTGTCAAGGAAGGTACTTTGGCTTAGCATACAATTAAGCATTTGCAAAGTTTCAGATCCTTAGACTGCACGTCAAAACTAATTGTAAGCATGTTTGAACCTAAATTTGTGGCAGCTCGAACCAAGACTGAGGCGATTATAAAAAATGTTTTAGCTCAAGAGGCTCAATCCCAGTTAGAAATTGACCTTCGAAAAGAAAATTTCGTCAGTATCACAATTGATTAAAGTTGTGCCCTTAATGGTAGATATTACCAGGTGACTTACCTGGTGAAACATCTGAGCAGTTAAAAGATTACGTGGTTAATGTTTTAAATCACCATAATCTACTACAAAAATGCATCGGATTGTCTGCTGCTAATACAAATACAAATTTTGGTGGGATGAAAAGAAAAGGAGTGAACAATCTATTGAGCAAATTAAATGTTTCTCGTGGTAAACCCGTGATTGGAATTAGTTGTGTGGCACACATTTTTAATAACTGTTTACAAAATGCGACGGACGTCTTATCCATAGACATCGAGGTTATTGCAGTCAAGATTTTTAAGTATTTCTATACTTTTACAGTCACAGTGGAGAAACTAAAACAGTTTTGCAATTTTGTTGATATCGAGTATCGAGTACAAAAAAATATTGTCGTTTTCACAAAAAAGATTTTTGAGTCTAATGCCAGCCCTTGAACAAATTACACAAATGTTCGAACCCTTGAAAGCATATTTTTTATCGATTGATAATTGTCCAACAGTTCTAAAACAGTTTTTTCAAAACCCAATCAGTGAAGTATGGATGTGGTTTGTGCATAACATTTCGTCTCTCTTCCACAAAGTGATTATAGATGTAGAAGGTGACAAAATATGCGTAACGGAAGCCGCTACGGAGTATTTCGAACTCATAAATAAGCTTCAAAATCGCTTAAATGAGTTATTTTTACCGCTTAAAGTAAGAGAGTTAATTTCAAAACTTGAAAATATGGAAGACCTTAGTGTGAACTATCGGGATATCTTTATTACGCATGTCAAGCAGTTCTATTCAAATTGTGTAACATATTTGAAAAACTGAAGTGAAAATTTAAGTGAACTAAAGCTATTCGAATGGGTTAACTTGAAAAAACAAGTTTCTTGGGCTGAAGTTGTATCGCCGTGTAAGGCTTTCAAAGACTACATAGGTCTGATATTGAATCAGGACGAACTGTTTGATGAAGTTAGGCTAATATGAATCTACGTTACAGAAGATAAAATCGCAGACTGGAATTCGAAAAATATTTCTACCGAAAATCGATCGCTCGAAATCTTCCAAAAAGAAAGTGCTTTGAAAAATCTTAAAATTCTATGTGAGTTTGTTTTTGTCTGTCTGTGACCAGTGCGCGATTGAGCGGTTGTTCTCAAATATCAATAACTAATGGAGTCCCAACAAATCGCAGTTGAAAATATCTACTCTGGAAGCCATCATGCAACTCTACACAAACTTCAAAGTTTCGTGCAATGAAACGTTTCCGTTCTTAAAGAGTAAACCACAACTTCTAAAGGAAATTCATAGTTCCAAAAAGTACGACTGGTACCAAAATTATGATCAAGATGTTCAGGAAGGAACGTTGAAAGAAAATTAACTATTAAAATTTATCATATATTTTTTATGTACTTATGTTTGACTAAAAAAATCGTTCTTATCATTGTTTCATTAAAGATTCGTAAAATTTGGACCAGAAAAATTTGCAGCAGCAATATGTAGCAGTGTACATATTTTCTTAAAAATTATAAATGTACTTTTTTTTTTTGTTGAAAAATTATGGTCACTCTAATTATATGCATATTTACAGACCATAATATGGACAAAAAACAAAACGGGTATATCGATGGAAGGCAACTGTATATACATATTTCTGGCTATTGGTCATCTTCAGTATGATGCAGCCAAGTTAGGAAAGGAGCATGTTAACTTAGGAAAGGATCACTACATGAGCAATTCGACCAATTTGTGACATTAGAGTTAGAAGAACCTGATGGTTTCCAGGGCAACAACTAACAATAACCACGGAGGAAGCTACAGCTACCTGTAGCTTCTATAATAGAAAAGATTAATTGGAGTAAAGATATTAGAATATAATGCGAGAATAAAACTAAAATGTAATTACATGTCATGCAAAACAGGAAAACAAAAAACAAAATTGGTGGTGCATGTTACAAACCGAAAAATGGTTACCCTTATACTGGTACTGATCATCTACGGAATAAAGATACAAACTGGATTCTTCTTCCTCTTGGTCTGGGAGTGTTAGAGAACTATATTTGTTATTTTTCTCTGATGGTCTATGGGTAACATTAACTTTTCTTCATTTTTCTTTATTTTGCTCGCTCTTATCAAATCCTAAGACATCGCTAGTTGATAATCTTCTATGGTGGTGTTGGCTATTATTTATTGCATACTGTGTGGGAATTGGTTGAGCTTCAATATTCTGAGGTTGCTGGTCTTGTGGTGTGTATGTGTTGCAGGGTGAGACGTCCTGTACAGTAAGTCCATTATTTGTTGACAACATTTGTTGGTTGTAATTAATTCTTGGCCCATTAAAAGCAGGTAATGTATTCATTTTTTATCTGCTAGTCAATTAGTTGACCACATTTATCATTACACTGATAAGCTAATTTGTTTTGTTTTTTTTTTTATTTACACTTTCCGTAGCACTATTGATAACGGGAGCAATCAACTGTATACTACGAAAGTCAAGCGAGTACTGTCTTATTAGTTGAGAACAGTCTTGAGAACAGTTTTTAATTCATAGATGTATTTTTGGAACATTAAATTTAATACTATTTATAAAAAACAATCTTTATATTTAATGTAATTTACAACATAGTGAATAAAGAGGGCTGAATGAAAATTTCTTCTATTATCCAGTCGCTGAACGTTTAAAACAAGTTAACATAGCCTTATAGAAAAACGTTCAGTCGCTGAACGTTTAAAACAAGTTAACATAGCCTTATAGAAAATCATTACTGTATGGATAGATACCAAACTTTCTGACATAAAGAAACCGCAAGAATCGTTTTTGAACCTTTTCAATCAGATCAACATTGCATTCGGCTTGTGGTGCCCATATAATAGAGGCATACTCCAAGTGAGGTCTTACAAGTGCATTGTATAATGATATTAAAGTTTTAAATCTTTTAAAAAAAATTGAATTACAGATTATGAAGCCAAGAGTTCTGTATGCTTTTCCTGTATGAGTTCTGTATGATGATCCGATAATGTTCCCCAAATCCCAAAATTTTGCTGAAACATTACTGCAAGATCTTCCAAGTACAGTGTTAGAAATGTTGTATTGGTTCTCCATGTATTATGTTTTTCGAGTGATAGTAAAAACATGACATTTAGAACTGTTCAGAAACATTTTGTTATCATTGAACCATTGACTTACTGAGTTCAGATCACATTGCAACATCTCAGAGTCCTGCAGATGAAATTTCTCGAAAAATCTTAAAATCATCTGCAACTATACTTTGTTTCAAGTTAAGAAAATAACATTACGCTTATGGCGATCAGTGTTGCCAAAACTCTCAGACACTCTCTTTTGCACAGATGTCCAAGATATTCCCTTTGCTTAATTTTTGAATTTTCATTTTCAATTAACATTTAACTGTAAAGTCAGAATAACTACTTAATAAAAGCCTTATTATCATTATGTAGTCAGAGAACGACATAAAATAGCTGACATACGCACATCATATTATTTTAAGTTGCAATTAGTAATTAGATATACGCATTCCAAGCCGTCAATATTTTCTACTGATTTCTATGATTCATGGCATATCGTATTCTCACCGAAAAACAAATAAACTGTCGTTACTATAATTAAAATAAGATAAAATAAAATTATCTTTTGTAAATACTATTTATCTAATTAAAATAATTTTTCCTACTTTTCATCTCTTGTTTCGAATGGACACTTTTGGTCAATTACGTTAAAAAACATTAATTTAATTCATGTTTGTGGAAACGAAAATACAAATTATACAACCCTAAATTGTGCTTGTGTGTGTCGTGGCAACGCCGCGTTGCTATCGTCCATAAGAAATACATGGTCCTATCTCCGCAATGTTATTTTCTAAACGTGGAACGTAGTATTGCAGGCTTGTCTAAAACTTCACACAGTGAGGCGAACCGTTAATAAATATAGCAAACAGAAGAGGACCCAAGCTGCTACCTTGTGGTACACCTGAAACATACATGCTTCTGAATCAAAATCAAATTTGCTTAGCTTTTCAATAAGTATTGTAAAAACGCACAGATTTGACACAGTGGACTTCCCTGGTAAAAAACCATGTTGTTGTGGACAGAACCTATCTCCAAAGTAATTCTCGAATATCTTAGCAATTGAATTGATGACAGATATGGGCCTATAGTTCTCAACGTTACCAGCATTACCAGATTTAAATATAGGTGTTATAACTGCATGCTTTAAGGTATCTGAAAATTTACTTTGTTTAAAGGACAAATTAAAAATTAGTGTGAGAGGGACAAAAAGAGTCTCTGCACAACCTTTAAAAATGTATGCTGGTATATTGTCATTACCTGTGGCTTTTTTTGGTTTTAGTCTTTTAATGCTTTGGAGAACATTCTCAACTGTTATTTTTGAAAAGTAAAAACCCCCTGATTCAGTGTACTATTGAGACTATTTGATCTTTGAAATACAGAGCCAAAGTATTCTGCAAAAACATTGGCAATATCCTGACAGCCACTTATGTCCACACCCCTATAAGAGACCTCTGTTGGAATTGTATTATTTACACCACAGGATTTTATAAAGGACCAAAAACTACTAGGGTCAGTTTGTACATTATTCTCAATATTTTCATTGTGATACCTATATGCTTTCCTACTAAGCTGTTTCACCTCTCGTCTCAGTGATTTATATTCAGCCAAAACCAAAGCATTTGCAGATTTATTTACCTGCCTATGACGACGATTCTTACGTTTAATCTTCGATATAAGTTCCGAAGTAAAGAAAGTAGGATACCTGTTTGTTGTTCGTAATACATTCCTCGTCTGTATTTTGGGTACTGACTGATAAATGCATGCATAGAGCTTTTCATAAAACAACTGCATACATACATCCACATCCAAGTACGCCTCCAGCTCTGTCCATTCCATATCTTGAATGAGGCCATATAAAATTTTTTTCCTAGATAGACTGGCGTAATAATGGAGTTTGGAATGATCCCAAACTGGTATATGTATCACTTCCTATAAACCGTATTTTGGACAGTATTTTGTGCCATTTTACGCCAATTTCACTTCCCAGATTTTCACATATTCACTGTTATTTTCGTTAATTGTCAGCCAGAAATTTAATTTGCTTTTTACTTTAATTAATGCAAGGCTGCCACTCTTCCACTTGATATATTATTTCACTTAAATAAAGTTTATTGTCTGTATTATTTGTTATTGTGTAGAGATTTATTGAAATCTAATTATAATGTTTTTTCTTTTAGGGATGTACAGAAACAACTGGCGTTTATGTTAGGACGACAACAGATATATGTTGAAATTCCTGAACATACTCCAGAATATGAAGACTTAATCGAGATAATGGCAAACTGTCATCTTAATAATCATTTCTTGAACCTCGCACGCGAATTGGACATTATGGATCCTAAAACCCCGGAAGATGTTTACAAATCCCACTTGGAAAATAGTCGTCCCCCTTTCGGCGGAAACCAAGTTGATTCCGCCAGACAAAATTTAGCTGCCAGCTTTGTTAATGGATTTGTTAATGCGGCTTTTGGCCAAGATAAGCTCTTAATGGAAGACGGGAATAAATGGCTTTATAAAAACAAGGAACATGGAATGCTTAGTGCTACTGCTTCTTTGGGGCTAATTCTTTTATGGGATGTAGACGGTGGTCTTACTCCTATCGATAAATACTTATACTCTTCCGAGGATCATATTAAGTCTGGTGCTTTATTAGCTTGTGGCATTGTAAACTGTGGTGTCAGAAATGAATGTGATCCAGCACTCGCACTTTTGAGTGATTATGTTCTTCACAATACAAATATAATGAGAATAGGAGCTATTGTAGGTCTAGGTTTAGCTTATGTTGGATCAAATAGAGAAGCAGTATTATCTTTAATCACACCTGTGCTATCTGACCCTAAATCAAATATGGAAGTCATTGGAATGGCGGCACTGGCATGCGGAATGATTTCTGCAGGATCTGGTAATTCTCATGTTACAACACAAATAATGCAAGTTCTTATGGAAAAGTCCGAAATAGAATTAAAGGATACTTATGCCAGATTTTTGCCTCTGGGTCTTGGATTGTGTCATTTAGGTAAACAAGAAAGTATTGATACAATTATAGCAGCGTTAGAAGTTATACCTGACCCCTTCAGATCCATGGCAACTACCATGGTCGATATTTGCGCTTATGCAGGCACAGGAAATGTTTTGAAAGTTCAACATTTGTTACATATATGTTCAGAACATTACGATGCTCCTGAAACTCCTGACAAAACTTCAAAAGACAAAGATAAAAAGGAAACAGAGAAAGAAAAAGATAAAGATCTCTCAGCTAGACAAGCTATTGCTGTCTTGGGTATAGCATTAATTAGCATGGGAGAAGATATTGGTAGCGAAATGGCTTTCCGCACATTTGGCCATTTACTAAGATACTGTGAACCAGCTATCAGGCGTGCTGTTCCATTGGCCCTAGGCTTAATATCAGTTTCAAATCCTAAATTAAGTATTCTTGATACTTTGAGTAAATTTTCACATGATAGCGATGCTGAAGTGGCTCATAATGCCATATTTGCGATGGGTTTAGTAGGAGCTGGTACTAACAATGCAAGGTTAGCAGCTATGCTACGACAATTAGCACAGTACCATGCCAAAGATCCCAATAATTTATTTATGGTTCGCATCGCCCAGGGTCTCACTCATCTTGGTAAAGGAACTTTAACACTCAGTCCATTCCATAGTGATAGGCAGCTGATGAGTCCAGTAGCTGTAGCTGGTCTAATGGCGACGCTCATCGGTTTCTTGGATGTTAAAAATAGTGAGTAACCTTTTTACTTTAATTTATGTTGAAATTTCTTATAAAAATACGCCAATTTAACGCCAATAATATTTAAATGAAACCCTAATACAATTTATTATTCTTACAGTTAAAACCACAATTTTAGTTTAAAATAAGTTTCATCAATAAAGTTGAAACCAAAATTTCTTCTACATCCCTTTCATTTTCTACTACGCACTCATCATTTTCTCTCAACCTTCTAAAAAAACAAACTTAGAACCCTTAAATCCATCAAACAAATAATAACCATAGGTTTGTTCGTAGTAGCGATTACAAACGGTTTGTGATTTGAAATACAGTGCGCATGTTCAGTTGGAAACTGTTTGGAATTAGTTTGTGATTTTGTGCTCTACGAACACCTAAAATTTGATATTTTGCATTTGTCATTGTCGTTTGTCAAATCTCGAAATCTCCTTTTCTTATTTCTTAAGGCCGTATGACACTATGCATTTTCTTGTATCATTTCTTATATCGTTTCTGATATAGAAAGTTATTTATGTTTTCTTGTATCGTTTCTTGCACGTACATTTTTGCCCTGTATGACACTATGCAAGGTCTTTACAAATTGTATGTGATTTGGCACATGATTGGTCGAAATTTTGACACCTATAAAAATAGAACTGCAGTACCTGAGGACTCCAAGCTAATGGGGACTGAGGACATATGCTACTGATTATTTTTTAAAATACTGTGGTGCAAAAATTAAAGAAATAAAATGTCCCAATATTAAAACTAAATTGGAAACCACAATTTTTGAAGATATTCAACAGGCTGTAATGGAAGACAGAAATAATAATTTGGTTGTAATAATTTATTTGTTTTTTTTTAATTATGTGTTTGAATGGCATGCTCTTGAAATTCTACTCTCTTATTTGGAGATATAAAATAATCTTTAAACTCATCACTAATTTTTAGAGCGGTTATGTATTGTTTTTAGTAAAACATCTCCTCCTACTTTCAGTAGTTCCGATGCTATTTGATCCAATCCCTGTGATTTATTATTTTTCAATTTGGCTACTGATGTTCTAATCTTGGTTACTGTTGGTGGGCACTTTTCTCTGATGTCTGCTTGGTCTAATTGTATATCAAAGTTCTCCTCCAGCCCAATATGACAGAAGTTTTACGTTTTTGCGGCTTTGCGCACAAATTGGCGCATTTCTTGTACAAGAAAATGCAGCGGACACAAATTCTTGTATCGTTTCTGATATAAGAAACTATACGCTTGTATGACACTATCCATTTTTTTGTTATATCAGAAACGATATAAGAAATGATACAAGAAAATGCATAGTGTCATACGGCCTTTAGAATTCGATCTAATTAGTTTGTTAAATCTTTTTATTCACTTTTTTTGCATTTATTGTTTAATATTATTAGTCGTTTATTTGATTTTATTAGTTTGATTATAGTTTTCTTAGTATATTTTATTTTTTAGTTATACCTATATAGTTGTTATAACAACCCAACGTTTGTTTTGTGGTTATAAAATAGATTTATACAACAACAACACCTCTGCGCATGTCGCTGATTTTTAGTCCGCACAATCGTTGGGGATTTTAACAACCGTTGGAAACCGAATTCTGATTAATCACTTTGTTACTGCGAACAGCAAACTTAAAATTGCCAACCGTCAGAAGTGCTTCTACGAACGCTAACTGTTAACTGCGCGTGCGTCTGATGGTTGGCAACGGTTGCTGATCGTTCTACGAACAAACCTCATATTAGGGCCGGTTCTACAATGCTAGTATATACTGAGAATAAAGTTATACTTGGAATAACTTCATTAATGGTGTTTCTACAAACAAAGAATAAACTAGGAATAAGATTACGCAGTTTAGTCAGATATACTCGAGTAACTAAATTTTATACTGCATTTCTATTGGTCGGTCAGGGGTTGTCAAATCTGTAATATTTTAACCTCACTTATGCCATTCAATGAACTGTGGTTTTGTTGTTTTTATATATAAAATAAAATTTTTTATATTGCACAAACATTGTAGATTGTAAATCCAAAGAAATTTTATTAGGCAATCCAAAGGAAAAAGAAAGCATTTATTATTTCAATTCTAAATATTTAGGATATGTATGTAATGTAAATAATGTCTACACATATAACTAATATACTGCCGTCCTAACATGAAAGGTCCTATCTGCAAAATTTGGTAAAATGACTTTATTGGCTCACGGCATTCGTAAACATATTATCTATGTATGTACAAAATGAAATTGTCCTATAAGCGTCTTAAGTGCCTTATTATATACCTAAATGGTTTGTCCTAACTGACTAAAAAGCCATGTTCACTAACATAAATTGTCCTATCTCACATATACTAAGAAAAATTGTCCGTTTTGACTTTAAAAATGCAGTTAGGACTATTTAAGCTAGTATTTTATACTGAGCGGCATCATTTAGGACAATTTTTGCCTAGTATGATATAAGCATGTGTGTAACATAACTTCAAATAATTAATTAAAAAGGGTATTTGTTATTGTCAGACATTGGGAATACTCTCATGCTTTTTGGTATTTTAAGTAAATATATTGTGAGAAATGGATGAAGGGTAAGTTTAATAATGTTACCTTAGGTATAAGCAATAACTGATCGTAATTATTGTTTGTAGTAGTAGCAAAAAATATAGACGCACATGCGTCTATATTTTCTGGTTGTAGCAATGCAGCATGTCGTAGCCAGAACAGCGATAGGTGTAAACGTATGGTATTTAGCCAAAAGCGAGAATGATCCAGATTATGCACCTGGGACGTCCAATAAATTCGACAATAATATAAATGGAAATGAGTCGGATTCTAGTTTCGAATCTAACTATTATCATTTATGTTACATATATTAGGATGTAAATTGTGTACTAAGTTTTAAAACTTCTTCTTCTTTTTATATAGACATGACTCTGTCTGTTTTTCAATGTACCTCCAGTAAGTTGCCGTTTCATCGTTTTCGTGGTCTTCCTACTGATCTCATCGTTTTCGTGGTCTTCCAACTGATTGTCTTCTTATTGGGGAACCGTCTCTTGCCGTATTTACTACTCTATTTGTTGTCATTCGGCTTGTATGATCGTTCCATTCTACTCTTCTATTTCTTACACAGTTCTTAATATTCTTACTTTGTCTGATGTACCTCACCTTGCATATACATTGTATCTCTGTACTCTGTATCTTATCTTAGCTCTATCCCATAGTGTTTTGCCATCAATGTTTCTAAGTGTTTTCATCTCTTCTGTTTCTAACATCCTTTTTGTCCTCTCTGTGTCAGGTCTTGTTTCTGCTGCGTATGCCATTATTGGTCTGATGACTGTTTTGTAAATTTTGTCATTCATTTCTTTTCCGATATTTTTATTTCTTCATATTGTTTCATTCAGGCAGCATGCGGCACTGTTTGCTCTATTCACTTGAACTTCCTTTTCAGTTTTGAGCTTTCTGTAGCTAGATAATGTGATGCCTAGATATTTAAACTCCATCACTTCTCCTATTATCTTACCTTCCAGCTCCAATTTACATCTTAGTAAATTTGCTGTTGTAAGCATGCATTTTGTCTTTTTTGGGTAAATTAACATTTTTCTGGCGATTATATTAAATTGGTGCAGCTTAAGTTGTAAATCATCTTCACTTTGAGAGATCAGTATTGCGTCGTCTACATAGTAGATTATTTTAAGTTGTTTTTCTACCATTTGGTATCCTTTTTTAGTTACTTTTTTTATTATTTCATCCATAATCAGGTTAAATAATAAAGGACTCATAGAATCTCCCTGCCTTATCCCATTGCCAGTTACAATAGGGTCGGTTAGTTCTTCTTCTACTTTTACTTTTATTGTGTTTTTTTGGTAGATATTTTTGATCGTTTTGATTATTCCTGGAGGTATCTCTCTTGCGTACAGTAAGTGGATAACGTCTTTTAGTTTAACCCAGTCAAATGCCTTCTTAAGGTTCACGAAACATAGATATGCCGGTTTGTTGTATTCTAATGATTTCTCTTGCATTTGCCTCATTATAAATATAGCGTCGATGCATAATCTTCCCGACCTAAAACCTTGTGGTTCTTCTGCCTGTGTTATAATTTCATTCAGTTTATTTGTTATCACTTTGGTTGTTAATTTTAGTGTTGTGTTTCATAAATTAATTCCCATTCCCTTGATCTCCATTCTTGAGGAATACTATTTTTTGTTCTATTATTTTATAAAACTTAGTATAATAAAATTAAAAGTGTTCAGTTAATTTGAATTTTAGTTTTATTTAGGACAATTTCAGTAAGTAATACAAAAAAACGTACTTCAGATACACTAAGCTAAATTGTCCTAAGTGGCAATTTAATCAAAAATCGACTAATCTGGAAAGAATAAAACAAAATTCTGACTAGCAATTAAATTCTATTCTCTGACATAATATATAAAATAAAACATAAAGACTTCTTTAAATTACCAAGCGTTATACAATGAAAAGAAACAAAAACTTGATTTTCTCAAAACCTAAATTTTGCAGATAGGACCTTTCATGTTAGGACGGCAGTATAGTAATAGGATAATCTTACCAAGCAATATATTTTTAATGTTTTGATAACAGAGACTGTAATTCTAGAATCTGTATTATATAAACATTTCTTTAACTAAAATTATATATTTTGTAATCCAATATTTATACTTGTTTAAAATGTGGAGTACCTATATAGATATATTTACATAATTTGGTTATTATATTACAACACTAATCTCAGTTGATGATAATCAAAAAATTTAAAAAGAGAATATCTTACTAAGGAGAAATTGATTTTAAATACAATATTCCAAAAGTTATAACTTAAGTACAGAAACAGTTGCAATATATTTGAGATACAATAAAATGTTACAATATAATATCACTATTTTATTGATTCAATGCTAGAACCGCTTCCAGGCAACTTATCTACTATCTCCTTTAGTACAGCAGTTTGTGTATTTATTGCAGTAATCTTGTCTTGTCTGAAAATGTTTGCTGGAACAAACCTAATATAATATAATGTGAGTCATGAGGAACTATACATACTCCTACCTCGTACGGAAACCCCTATGGGAAATAACAAGTAACCAGTAAAAAGTGCAAGGGAGTTGTTATTTTATAAAAACTTGATATTCCAGTTTGTCTAATTTGTAAAATTTTTGTTAAAGTTTTTAAAAACCATAGGTTGAGATTCTTTCATGAACAGAACAAACTATTTTTTTTTAAACCGGACCTGACTTTATTTCTAGTTTAAATGTGATGTTTAGTGACATGTTTGACCAAAATATGAGACACATCAAATTTACAATTCAAAAGCTATGATGAATAGAAGTCAGTCAAAATTGACAACTCGCAGTGTATGTTATTAAACAATGAGAGCGAAACTTTTTAATGGTCATTTGTTATTCCCCATAGGGTCCTCCATACAAGGTTGGAGTATGTCCTGTATTAACTAAGTACTAAGTAAATATTTTACACTTTATTTCTCAACTCTTGTTTTAAAATTTGAACTTCAAACTGGCATATTGTCTCTTTGTGGTTTTCTTCAAAGACTCCCACTTGCTTCGAAGCATTTTAGCTGTCCTTCCTGTACCACAATTGGAATTAAATTTTATGGATAATTTTAACCACTCCTCATCTTTCATGGCACTTGTTGTTGTGTCAGTTTTCTTACATTCTAAAAACAAAATTAAAATAAATACTTAACCCATAGATACATATTTTTTTACATACCTATTATTTCTTTATGTTCTTCAAGTAAACTCACAAGCATTTCAATTTCTGTATATGTAAAATTTTTACATCTTTTTTTATCCATTTTATATTAATTTTGTAAAGTATAATAATATAAACGTAGATAAAATACCAGATAAAGCGAATCAATTATTCAATTCCTTTCAATTGTAAACAAATTTTACAGTTATGACAAATGCCAAATGTCGCTGTCAATAACAATTTGAACTAATTTGAAGATATCAGATCTACTATTTCGTTTTACCTTAGTGTTCTGTGGTTATACCCAGAATAACTATTCCGCTGTCGATTTCACAATGTAGAACGCTCGAAAGGTTATACTTGGAATAAACTCAAGTATAAGTTATACTCAGAATAACTATTCTCCAATTTAACCTGGATTGTAGAACCGCTGTGACTTCAGTAAAGCGGACAAAGGCAACTGTTTGTAATTTTAGAACGTGATAAGACTTACATGTCTGTATAGAACGAGTCCGTCGCCTCCAAAGGCTGCCAAGAAGTCTGTTCATGCATATTCATCATCATCAACAGCTATTCCATCCATCGTTGAACGTAAGCCTCCATTAGGTGTGTCCATTAATTTCTGTTGGTTGTTTTTTGCATCCATTCGTGACCAGCCATTCGCTTGATGTCATCAGTCCATCTTATTTGAGCTCTGCCTCTACTTTTTCTGTTTATTCTTGTTTGCCATTCAATAATTCGCTTCGTCCAAAATAGTTGTCTTCCATTCTTTCTATGTGCCCTGTCCAGTTCCATTTTATCATGCCAATATTTTGGATTACATTTGTAACTTGGGTTGGTCCTTTTTATTTCTTCATTGGACTTGCGATAGCTGAGCTTAATGTTGAGCATCCACTGTTTCATCCAGCTTGGAGTTTGTGGACTAAATTGTTGTTAAAAGCGCATGTTTTAATTCCGTATGTTAGTACTGACAATAGGTACTGATCGAAATTTGTTGGCTTTAAAGTATTTGGTAAGTTTGATTTAAATACTGTTTGTAATCTTCTGAATGCTGCCCATGCTAAGGAACATCTTCGAATCAGCCTTTCAGTTCAGCTTTGTAGGAACATTAAGTTAAGCTTAGAAAGGACATGGGACATATATGTCCCATTAGTGTTGAATGGTGGGATAAATAATTCCCATCAGTAAAGAAATAAACTTGTTGTGGCAAATGGTCGCTATTCTTCCAGAATGCCAGTTATTCGTTTTTTTACATTTAATTTCTATCTTCCCAATTCAATTAGCTATTCTGCTAGTGGCACCAGAAAATTCAAAAGTGAAAATTTTGCATTATTTTGTACACTTCTTTTATGCAAATCCTTGTAAATAATCCAATAATTTACAATAGCGTACACAACTAATTTATAAAAAACTGTTCTCCCACATCTCACAGATTTTCGGCCCATATCATATGTGTTTTGATCGTGTTCAGGGCTATTAAATATATTTTTAAACTGACACACTTTTGATTTAGTAGTGTATATTTAAAATTGAACTTTTTTAATAACAAAAACTAAAAATCTTCAACACTTTAATTTTTTTTTAGTTATATTGGGGAAGTCACACTACTTACTGTACACCTTAGCAGCTGCAATGCAACCAAGGATGTTAGTTACATTTGATGATGAGCTAAATCCTCTACCAGTGCCTGTCAGGGTTGGATTGGTAAATATTTTGCCGTTTTATTTTTATACACATTCTAAACGATCATTTTTAGGCAGTAGATGTTGTTGGCCAAGCAGGAAAACCAAAAACTATAACAGGTTTCCAAACCCATACAACTCCTGTGCTTTTGGCTTATGGTGAGCGTGCTGAGCTCGCAACTGAAGAATACGTTGCGTTAACGCCAATTATGGAAGGATTTGTTATTTTAAGAAAAAATCCTGAATTTAATTCATAAATATATTATTTCCTGTAATTGTTTCATATATTGTTTCGTAATTGATTTAATATAGTTTTTTGTATTAATTGATATTTATTAAATATTGCTCATGTTTTGAATGAAAAACCTCATTTTTCACAACCTCTTCAAATGGAAAATTGGGAATTCTACATAATGATAAAGTAGTCGGACGATGTGGGAATCCACGTATTAACAATAATGGAAAAAGAATCATTTACATAGATATGCAAATAATTTAACTTAAAATTAAAGAAAAAACATTCTTCCAACAAAACAATTCACCAGTATACATGGGAAAGACCTATTGTTTTCTTCTTCTAGTACCATCTTCACTAATGAAGGTTGGCTGTAATCATTGCAAATTCGTCTCTATTTTCTGCTTTTCTTAAGAGCGTCTCTGTGTTTAATCTGGTCCAGTCGCGCATGTTCTTCAGCCAGGATATTTGTCGTCTACCGGAACCCCTGTTTATTTCGATTGTACCCTTCATAATCAGCTGCAACAACTCGTACTTATCATTTCTAAGTATGTGCCCCAAATATGCTGTCTTTTGCCTTTTAATGGTGATCAAAAGTTCTCTGCTTCTTCCCATTCTGTGCAACGCCAGTTCGTTCGTAATATAATAGGTCCATGGTATCTTCAAAGTTCTCCTAAAAAGCCACATCTCATACGCTTCCAGTTTTCTCATTAACATTAGTGGATATAACATTTTATCATCCGATATCGGATTTGCAGATTAAGGCCGTCCGCACATGGGTCGACGCTCGAAGTCTCAATTTCAATCGCGTAGGTCTCTCCCCACCGCCCAAGTTCCTTCATTGTTGCATTGAGCTCTACTGACGGGGCGTTTAGTGGTCGTCTAGAATTGCAAATCTGCTCGTCTTGTACGACTCTCGTCACTTGCGATCGGTAAAGCACGAGAAAGTTCGAGTGAGTCACACGTTTTCTGTCATGGAAGTAAGATTATTGCATTTGCTTCCTTCGTTTTTTATATTTTTTTTGCCCTAAAATAAATTTAAGGTAGTTTGTTTAACCTCCTCGCTGGCTCTAGTGTCATATATTGTAACATAAAAAATCAAACTTTTCTAGTGAACCGCCATCTCACTAATTTATTATAAACTTAGCAACTGATATCAAAGAAAACTACTTTACTTTCTAAGAGTTGGGGACCTGTATAATGGTAACTGTTTAAATATAGTAAGTTATAACACTAAAATAATAAAATGAACATGAAAGAAGGGCCTACGACCCCCTCGTTCACGTCAACGGAATAACATAAAATATTAATGTCATCATATTACTTTTTGTACATAATTTTTTATATTTATTGAATGACCTAGATGATCAGTTTTTTGCTAATCGATCTGTATTTTCTAAATTCATGAGAACATATTTGATTGAGGCACGTATAGTTTTATGTAATATAGGTATTACATAAGGGTCTTAAATGTATACTGACAATGTTGTAATGACTTTCGGGAATTAAACAAATATTTTCATTTGTTGCAGCATCTCACTCAACAAGAACTTGAACAGCTTCTTTACGAATCGGAGTTAAACCTTTCCGATGATGAAGAAATATGCCTTAGTTGATTTCGGCCAAAATCAGATAAACGATCTGACTACATAAATACTCAGACAACTCGATCACCTCAGAAGAAACCGCAGAGGCTCCATCTGAGTCAGTATCTATCACTCTCATCGTCACTAACTACAAAAACACACGTACGTTTCGTAGATCTATCAGAGCAGGTTGTAGTCGTGGTGCCCAGAACAATAGTAAGACGTAGGGGACGACGTCGAAATTGGTACACTCCAGTACCAATACCAGTTGTAACGATGCATAGACCGGTAATTTACACCCCTACGAAAAAACCCCTTTACCACCAAAGGTATAAAGATTATGGATTGTCAGTTATGGACTCCCGAAGAATTTTTTTTAAAGCAATATAAATGATGACCGCATGATGGAAACCATGACTGTAAGCCAACAAAACAGAACATATTAAAAGGGAAAGGAACAGAGCTGAAGTTGACCCAAGTAAAGAGATAAAAACATTTATTTGGCATCCATATGTTATGAGTGCAATAAGCTCCGACGATTAGAATGTATTGGTCGAGAAAGTATGAGTTTCAATCGTCAAAAATCATGACCGAACCCGATTTTTTACAATCAGATCATCTCTAAAGGTGTTTATGATGATTGAAAATTAATGATCAACAAAGAAATAAACAAATTTGAAGTCTTTCCTCTTTTCAACAGTATATTAATGGTTGTCATGCCAAATAAGATCGATCATATACGTATAGATGAAATGATAATACTTTCACCGTCATTGGAATTCGTCGAATCTTGCCCAGGAAAACCAGAACCCTGTGGAGTATTAAGTTTTTGTCTTGCCAATCCCAATGGTTCGAATGCGATATGATTAGTATATCAGGTGATATCAACTTTCAGAACTTACCAGCAAGAAAATGGCTTGGGTGAATCAGCAATTCATGAGTTATGTGTGAAATCTTGTTCCTGGTCATCACCTTTTACTTTGATCGTTATTTACGACAAAAAACGTGCTGAATATATACTAGAAAGAGGTTTCCAAGCAACAGGCACGATTGTAAACAGGAGAGGAGTCCCTCGGAATTGTATCTTTTAACCAGAAAATCAGTTCACGAAAAATCCAAGATGGCACTTCAGAAACGAAAGTTCGAGATGAATGGAAATATTGCCCATAACTCGCTGTTAGACAACCACACCTGTTTACATTGTGAACAACATACCATGCTCTAACACCCAGAGTCAATGCAGAAGATGGGTCAAAACGTAAAAGGAAACGGAAAGGTTAATAGACCTGAGGTGATCAAAAACTATAACCGGATCATGGGCGTAGATGACCTTGTTGACAGAATGGATGGCCAGTCTGTCCGGCACGAGCCCGTACCAAAAGTGGACAAGTCGATTCCATCAGCCACATGGCTAGATTTAGCAGTTTGCCAACTCTTGGTGTCAATACAGATCAGAACTAAAGGAAAACATGTACCAAAAACCAAAAACATTCCTCACCTGAGATCATTCAAATTAGATTGGGAGAGCAGATGGATTTTGGACAACACTCAGTCCTCTGCCGATCTGAACCAAGTAGCGACTACGAAACCTGGACCAAACATAAAAAAAGAAAGTCGAAATCACCCCATACCTGCCGAAGTTAAACTCTTCATAAGGCTGAACATTAAGTGGACTAAATCTGACAAACACAATAAATGCAGAAAGATCAATTGTAAAAATACGACAACTGCATTTTGTGATAAAATGTAAGAATATTTTTTTTATGTATACACACGGAAAAGAAATTTTTATAAAGTTTCATTATCAAAGACTGTCGGTCTAATACATTGTACTGTGTAAAAAAATAATGAATAATAAGAAAGATTGTTAAAAAAAAGATTATTTATGTATCTTCTTTCTTATTTTCGAGTTTATTTTCTTAATAGATAGACCCAATTTCATATTATATATGACATTTGAGAAAGCCATATTATCCATGGCATATTTTTTTTTGTCATTTTTTGCTGAAATATAAGTCAAATAAAACGGCAAAAATCCAAAATCTTTTGAAAATATTTAAAAAAATAACTCTGGGTCTCAGGAGGGTTTAAGATCGGCGAATATTACGTTCGTTTTTTGTAGTTTTGTTGAAATATATTGTTTGTAATATAAAATTCGTTGGGGAAGTGGAAAATACCCACAATTATATAATCATACAACGAAGGAATATGCCAAGAGAGATTCTTTTGACATTCTATAAAATAATAAAAAATTAGTGTCATCCTGTTGCAGTTCTCTTGCACCAACAAATACCCATTTATGAAAATTGCGTTCAATATAAGGATGCACCCATAATCTACGTTTTTTCCTTTTCATCCGCTGGTAGAGATAATTCATAATGTCGTGGACCTGACGTAATCATTTAGTGACGTCGATCTACGAACGAAATCAGGCATTGCTAAAAACATGCAGTTCTCTTCAGTGCGTTTTCGTAGCGAGACAGAGACGAACTAGTTTTTTACGTTAATGAAATAGCTTTAATATTTTTTTTTTGTGAAAAATCGTTTTTAACATTTTACAGTGAGATCCTAAAAATAAAAGTAAATTATGTTTATTTTAATATTGTTTGCAAAAGATTGATATGTTTTGTTAACGCTTATGATAAATTAATGAATTAAAATGAAAAGTTCTTTAAAAGTGTATAAAGCATTTAGTTCCTAGAGTGTATAAAGCCAAAGTGGCTCATCTAGAAGTTAAATGCTTTACACACTTTTAAAGTACTTTTCTGTTCAATTCATTTTTTTGTGTAAATGTTTTTCTTAGGCATAACTTATATTTAACATTTTATCTATTGTCTAAAACCTAGCGGTTTTACAGGGAAACACAGACCACTGAGGTAGGTGATTTGTGCAGGGAAAGTAACAATGGAAAAGTGGTCCATGGACAAAGGGAGGCAAATCATTTTTAACGTTTATTTATTTATAAAACGGGAAAAAGATTTGGGGCATTGCACAAATCCTTTACCCCTAATAGAGCGAGTGGCTCAAGCAACCCATACCTCAGAAAGTACAATGAAGAATATAATTAAGGAAGTTAAAAACAAACCAGCAACTTCACAATTTGTATCACCCAGAATGAGTATTTTCAATCCCAGCCCTAAGTCATGAGTCAATCCATTTGAGGAACACGTCATAAGAAATACCATTTTCACGTTTGCTACTATCCACAAAAGAAGACCTACCATGAAAGCTGCTTACGAATCTTTTAGAAATGAAGGAATTTTTTTTTTATTAACAAAATCGCATACCCGAATCCATATTAATAAATTATGATAACACCAACTATAGGATTTTTTTGTCACAAGATTCCTTGGTATGTTTTTCATGTAAAAGGCAAGGCCATACCGCAGCAAATTGTAAAATAACCCAAGAATCAGTTTCTGAAAATTATAACCAA